TCAGCTTCTACTTGTAGATTTAGAGAAATAAACTAAATTCTAAATCAATGTTTTTCACATCAAATATCAAAATTGTTTCATTTTTTTTTTTATTAAATTATACAAACAATTAAAGATGATACAACTATGATTATCCAATTACTTGATTAACTACAATTTTAGCTTCAATTTACACTTTTGATTTCTCAGCTGCTTCTTGTAGATTTAGAGAAATACACTAAATTCTAAATAAATGTTTTTCATATTTAAAAAATAAAACATCAACATTTTATATTAAATTATCGAAAATGTAAATGTGATACAATTATGATTATACACTCATTTAACTACTTACAATCTTGGCTTTAATTTTATTTCTTGATAACTAAGCTACTTCTTGTAGATTTTGAGAAACACACTAAATTCAAACTCAATGTTTTTCATGTTTAAAAAAATATCACAATTATTTCAAATTTTCTATTAAATTATAAAAATAACTAAAGATGATGCAACTATGCTTTTGTTCTCATTTTATTAATTATAATCTAGCTTTAAATTACTTACTTAATTTCTCTGCTATCTTTTATGCTTTAAGAGAAATCGACTTAAATTCAAAGACTCTGATTTTTCAATTTTACCTCTTCATTGATACAAATTAAACCGCTTATTGATACTACAAATGGACAGAAGATGTTAGAATTGCTGATTTCTGCATAAAAGCATATGTGGAAACTAATATGAAATAGAAACTATAGACGTATTTATAGATGTAGCTTTCATGAAACGATTCAGACAAACCTATTGTAATCAATACGTACTGAAAACTCATTACTTTTCTTGTTTCTTAGTCATTTAACAGCTGAAAGCTTAACATGTTCAATTTAAGTTATAAATTTGATAAAAATATATAATTTTCCAAGAAAAACTCGTAAAATTATTAAAATTTATAAGAAAATAACACTTTTTCTAATTAATTTTGAATTAAAACAAAACTGAACACTTTAAGAAATTTCATATTGATAAATACATGAAATTAACTAAATCTAAATGAAAACTGTGTTTTTATCAAAAAAAATAAAGAAATTATATTCTGAATTAATTAAATACAGTAAATTTAAATGAAAAAATAAAGCTTTCTTATAAGAAACTCGGAAATGCGAAAACATTTTTCTTCAATTTGAATACAATGAATATTGGAAGCCTCCGAGCATCGCAATCAGATTGTACTCGAACTCTATAATCATACATAAACATTGCAAGATTCTTGAATATTTTTATTGAAAAAAATAAAACTTGTAAACTTCTTAAGAGCAATTTACGTTATTGCCTATTTCTGGGGAGAAACGGAAGGAGTCAATTGGTGATTGATCGAAAACGGTGTAAAGTGTAAAGTGTCGAGAAGCATGATCGATCCGTTCACGAAAAGAATCGAACCGCCGCTCTCTAAATATTTTGTAACTTTGTGAACTTCGAAATATCAAGTTTCAAGCAAGTTTTCCGTCTTTCATCTATTAATTAATTGCTATTTGCATTAAAGAAATCGATCTGATTTTTGTCAATCAAAATTTACAAATTACAATAAAGTTTGATTAATCAATTGATTCTGCATAATTTAAGCTTTACTTTGGAGATTTCATCTGTTGTTAGAATTTATTGAGATATAATTTGTAAATATTGTTTTTTCAGTAATTATTTAATTGTTTTGTATGTGATTATTGCGGACGATAAAATCTGTTGTTTTCTCATTTAAAAAAGACGCTTTATGTGCTGAAACGAAGGGTTTCCTTCGCCATTAATCGACCTTGCAACAACAACAACAAATAAAAATACATTTGGGTCAAGTTTTTCGCCTCGGACGATCCGTAAATGGCAATCGGATGGGATTAGGTAACGCGTAAAATGCGATAATGGTCGAAGAGATCTGCACTTTTATGGTGATTACAAATCGTCGGATGTGCGAAGATGAAGATGGACTAATAATAATAATGAAAGAAAAAAAAGTAGTGTTTTTTGAGGAGATGAGATGGAACACTCTGTAGTAATTATCTCGGATCGGGTTTTGGTTGACAATAGGTTGATTAGAGGGTTATCGAATACCGACGCGTAACTTGGCTAATCACTAACCGGAGGATAATAATTGCAGCCGGACGTGGACAAGTTTTGATCATCAATTAAATTCCAAATCTTATTACATGAAACTCTAGATACGATTCGGTTTGGTTTCAAATTGTGAAAGACATTGTTGTTTGTAGTTAATTATATAAGTTTCTTTTAGATAACTTTCAAATATTACATTTCATTTAAATATTCAAAGAGATTTTCCTACATAAAGTTCACATAATTGAATGTATAACTAAAATGTAGTAGATTATAAAATTTTGAGTTAAAATCAAAGAAAAATTAAAAAATTATAAAACATTTGTAAAAGATTTCGATATGAATAAAAAAAACACATAAATCTTTGTTGTAAACTACATTTAGTTAATAAGGATTAACAACAAATTTCAATTTATAACTTTAACTAAAATGTATTAGAAAATATTCTCACACACAAATCTTTGTTGTAAACTCTCTATTGATGGAATTGAAAACAGAAAGTTTCAAATTTTATAGTTTTGATACGTATTTTTCTTATTGAAATGTTTTCGCAGTAAATGTTTTGTTGTTGTTATAAACTAAACTTAATAAGTAATAGAAAATAATGTCGAATTTAATTGATAGAAATTTTGTTTAAAATGGATAAAGTTTAAAGTGTAAAGTTTTCAATAATGAAATGTTCTCAAAAATATCGAATTTGAAGGAAATATTCTTACATTTTTTTCTTTACTTATTATATTTTAATCAATTATAACTATTTCTTGTTGAAAAATAGCATTTTTTTTATTAAAATAATATTTCATTTAATTTAATTTAATTTAATATTTCAAGTTCATTTTAAAGATTAATTTTTTGTATTCAAATATTTTGAATTATTGCAGTTAATATTATTAAATTTTTTGACATTATTTTATAGAACATCTTTGAAATTTATGAAATATAGAAAAATTTGAAGTTTTTTTTTTAAATAATTTATAGAAATTTTGCATAGCAAATATTTTAGGTATTTTTTTAGATTAAAGTCTTTTATTAGACATAATTTATTAACAAAAATGTTTGGTTGTTTCGTATTGCTTTCTACACTCGAAATTGCTGAAATTTATTTTCATTCTACAATAACTTTTCGTAAAATCAACCGTATTTTCAAAATTATACATGAAATTCAATAAAAAAAAACATAATTTCACTAGATTTTCATAAATTTAAAACTCTCTAACTTCACATCTTTCCTTTACATTTTCCTCAAAGATTTAACTTCTTAATTTATTACATATTTCAACATTTAAACCTTATATATTAAGTCTTTACCTTAACTTCTTTACTTTTCTTATTTCTTCAAAGACTTAATCAACACTTCTTAATTTATTTACACAATTCACAAATTATCTCATACTTTCCGTTAAAATTGCAGTTTTTTTTTTTTTCATAGATATTACAATTTCTCTTTAATTACAGATGAAAATAATTAAGAAACAAATAATATTGCCTTGTTCGTATTGTTTTTTTTTCACTCAAAACTACTGAAATTTACATACAAATTTAAACATACTTCGTAGATTTGAATTATCTCATATTTTCTGTTAAAATTACAGTTTTTTTTTATTTTCATAGATATTACAACTTCTCTTAATTTACAGATCAAAATAATTAAAGAAACGAAACAAGTTTGCCTTGTTCTTATTGTTTTTTCGCTCAAAACTACTGAAATTTATATAGAAATTTAAACAAATTTAGTATATTTAAACATATTTAGTAAATTTGAATTATCTCTTATTTTCTGTTAAAATTGTAATTTCCTTTTCATATATATTTCAATTTCTCTTTAATTACAGATCATAATAATTAAGAAACAAAAATGTTTGCTTTTTTCGTAGTTTTTCAGTCAAAACTACTGAAATTTACATACAAATTTAAACAAATTTAGTATATTTAAACATATTTCGTAGATTTGAATTATCTCTTATTTTCTGTTAAAATTGCAATTTTTTTCCTTTTTCATAGATATTACAATTTATCTTTAATTACAGATCAAAGTAATTAAGAAACAAAAAAGTTTTCCTTTTCTGTATTGATTTTTCACTCAAAACTACTGAAATTTACATTGAAATTTAAAGAAATTTAGTATATTCAAACATATTTCGTAGATTTTAATTATCTCTTATTTTCTCTTAAAAAAAGTAGTTTTTTTTTCATAAATATTACAATTTCTCTTTAATTACAGATCAAAGTAATTAAGAAACAAATAAGTTTGCCTTGTTCGTATTGTTTTTTCACTCAAAACTACTGAAATTTACATATAAATGTAAACAAATTTTGTATATTTAAACATATTTAGTAAATTTGAATTATCTCTTATTTTCCTTTAAAATTACAGTTTTTTTTTTCATAAATATTACAATTCCTCTTTAATTACAGATCAAAATAATTAAGAAATTTATGTTAAATCTATAAAAATTTAGTATATTTAAACATAATTAGTAAATTTGGATTATCTCTAATTTTTCGTTAAAATTGCAGTTTTTTCATAGATCTTTCATTAATTATAGATCAAAATAATTAATGAACAAACATTTTCGTATAAAGATTTCGATAAATTAATTTTTGTAGTTACAAAACTATTGAAATTTATAGAAAAAAAAACAACATTTTATAATTGGAAATTGTGTCTTTATGTATTATTTTCTTATAAAAAGAATGTGTTATATTCTGGATAGAGATGATTTTTCTCTTTTATTAAGAGATCATCTGAGAGAGATCAGGTGTCGGGAGGTGGAGGATCTGCGGCCACAAAAGTAATTGAATCCGTGCGGGAAAACAAGACCATTTCTCTTTGCTATTCGTATAACCTTTGAAACGAAAATAATAATAATAAAAAAAAAATGGATGGGAAAACCGTATAAGAGAAGAGGGAATGTTCTGCTCACCGGATATTCATCGTATTTCACGCCAAGTAGATAATCGGGATAGTCATCTGTTGATCTCTCCGGTGCGGCGCTTCTCTTCTCGAAGGGGAACGCGTTGACGTCCTCGTAGGGCAGAAGGAAGAAGCATCCCAGCAGAAGGAGACAGGAAAGTTTTCCTTCCATCCTGTGCGAGCAGAGAGAGAGAGCCGAAAACGGATTTGGTAGCAAAAAAGAAGTAAAAGTTCTTCTGCGAAGCAAAGTGTGCGCACTTTTAGGTGTTTAGGCTTCTCGATAATATAATTGTGTACTGGTTGCGAGGCATCCCCGAGCGCTCGCTTATATATATATTGTGTACGCGTACGCCACCCCCTTTTTGCCGACGGCAGGGCTGGACTCTCCATGTTTCTGCGCTATTTCTCCCTTCCGAACGCTTTTCCTCCCCCTTGAACACCATCCAATAACAACAACTCTTTCGCCGATCCTCCGACAATCTGCACATAAAATCAAACTCGGCACACGTACATCTACACACGTCAATTAAAGTACAACAACATCTCAGACATCATTAACAAAATATAAATAAAACCATGTTTATCACCGAAATACACGTTCGTTCGTTATCTTACCAAGAAACCTCGCATCATCATTACTCGCAACTTTCTAACTTACATGTTTAACTTTGCCATTAACTCAATAAATAATCATTTTTACATAATTCTAATTATATATTTTAAAGTTGTGCACTTCAAAATTTACATGCTCAAAATAAAATTCAATACAATCGCGACATTGAAACTTTCTTAATTACTTTTTTACTTTACACTTACCACAATTTACGTTTATTTTCATTCTACAATAACTTTTCGTAAAATCAACCGTATTTTCAAAATTATACATGAAATTCAATAACAAATATAATTTCTACAGTATTCTAAATTCCATAGCTTTCCATAAAGTTAAACTTTTTAACTTCACATCTTTACTTTGCATTTTTTTCAAAGTTCTTCTTAACTTCTTAATTTATTACATATTTCCACAATCAAACCTTATTAAGTCTTTAACTTAACTTCTTTACTTTTCTTATTTTTTCAAAGACTTAATCAACACTTCTTAATTTCTTTACATATTTGCAAGTTTCAACTTTTTCATAAAATCAGACATAATTCACAAATTAAATATGAATTTCAATAAAAAAAAACATTAAACCTATTATTATCAGGTAACAATGAAACTTTCCAAATTACATCTTTAACTTTGCCTCTTTTTTTTTCAATAATTAACACATTTCCATATTTAAATTTGCCATAAACTCAATAAATCATCATTTTTACATAATTCTAATTAGATATTTCAAAGTTGTTGTAATTTTTCATAAAATCGGCAATATTTTACATGCTTAAAAACTCAATATAGTCGCGACATTGAAACTTTCTTAATTACTTACTTACCACAATTTACGTTTATTTTCATTTTACAATAACTTTTCGTAAAATCAACCGTATTTTCAAAATTATACATGAAATTCAATAACAAATATAATTTCTACAGTATTCTAAATTCCATAGCTTTCCATAAAGTTAAACTTTTTAACTTCACATCTTTACTTTGCATTTTCTTCAAAGTTCTTTTTAACTTCTTAATTTATTACATATTTCCACAATTAAACCTTATTAAGTCCATAAAATCAGACATAATTCACAAATTAAATATGAATTTCAATAAAAAAAAACATTAAAACCTATTATTATCAGGTAAAACGTAACAATGAAACTTTCCAAATTACATCTTTAACTTTGCCTCTTTTTTTTCAATAATTAACACATTTCCATATTTAAATTTTTCATAAACTCAATAAACAATCATTTCTACATAATTCTAATTAGTTATTTCAAAGTTGTAGGAACTTTTCATAATTTCTACAGTGTTCTAAATTCCATATTTCAATAGCTTTTCATAAAGTTGAAACTTTCTAACTTCACATATTTTCTTTGCATTTACCTCAAAGATTTAACTTCTTAATTTATTACATATTTTCATATTTAAAGCTTATAAATTAAGTCTTTAACTTGACTTCTTTACTTTTCTTATTTCTTCAAAAAACTGAATCAAATCAACACTTCTAAATTTCTTACATAATTCTGATTAGATATTTCAAAGTTGTATGTACTTTTCTTAAAATCAACAATATTTTACAAGCTGAAAAACTCAATATAATCGCGAGATTGAATCTTTCTTTTTCATTCTACAATAACGTTTCGTAAAATCAACCGTATTTTCAAAATTATACATGAAATTCATTTTCCTCATAGATTCAACTTCTTAATTTATAACATATTTCAACATTTAAACATTATAAATTAAGTTTTTAACTTGACTTCTTTACTTTTCATATTTATTCAAAGACTTAATCAACACTTCTTAATTTATTTACATATTTGCAAATTTCAACTTTTTCATAAAATCAGACATAATTACCACAATTTACGTTCCTTTTGCATTCTACAATAACTTTTCGTAAAATCAAACATATTTTCAAACATTGAACATTGAAACTTTCTAACTTCACATTTTTACTTTGCATTTTCCTCAAAGATTTAACTTTAATTTTTTAGTTATTTCCACATTTAAACCTTATAAATTAAGTCTTTAACTTGACTTCTTTACTTTTATTATTTCTTCAAAGACTGAATCAAATCAACACTTCTTAATTCCTTACATATTTACAAGTTTCAACTTTTCATAAAATCAGACATATTTCACAAATTAAATATGAATTTCAACTTGATAATAATACTCAATTAATACGTAACAAAGAAAGTTTCCAAATTACATCTTTAACTTTGCCTCTTTTTTTTCAATAATTAACATATTTCCATGTTTAAATTTGCCATAAACTCAATAAATAATCATTTTTACATAATTCTAATTAAATATTTCAAATTTGTAGGAACTTTTCTTAAAATCGATAATATTTGACATGCTGAAAATTCAATACAATCGCGACATTGAAACTCTCTTCATTGCTTTTTTCATTTACACTTACCACAATTAACGTTCATTTTCATTCTACAATAACTTTTCGTTAAATCAACCGTATTTTCAAAATTATACATGAAATTCAATAAAAAAAAACATAATTTCTACAGTATTCTAAATTCCATATTTCACTAGCTTTCCATAAAGTTGAAACTTTCTAACTTCACATATTTTCTTTGCATTTTCATCAAAGATTTAACTTCTTAATTTATTACATATTTCCACATTTAAACCTTATTAATTAAGTCTTTAACTTAACTTCTTTACTTTTCTTATTTCTTCAAAGACTTAATCAACACTTCTTCATTTATTTACATATTTGAAAGTTTGAAAGTTTCACAAATTAAATATGAATTTCAACAAAAAAAATCATTAAAACTTGATAATAATACTCAATTAAAACGTAACAATGAAACTTTCCAAATTACATCTTTCACTTAACATCTCTAATTTGCTTTGTTCTTCAATAATTTAATACATTTTTCATAACATCTACCATACTTTGAATTAAAGACGAATTTCAACGAAAATATATGTTTTTACAAATTTCATAACACATATTTCATTAATTTTTCATAAAGTCGATCAAACTTTACGACCTGAAAATCAAATTTATTAAAAACGTAACATTGAAACTTTCAAAATTAAGTTATTAACTTAACATCTTTAATTTGCTTTTTTCTTCAAAAAGTTAATGAACACTTCTTAATTAATTAATTGCATACATCCAAATTGCAACTCTTCATAAAATCAATAATATAAATTATTTCAAAAACATTTCGTACAGTCAACCAAACTTTTCGACCTGAAAATGAAACTCAATAATTTCCATAAAACTTTATTTACTTTTACTATTTCTTTCAACAACTTAATTTACACTTCTGATTTGTACATTTCCATGTTTAAACTTTTCATAAAGTTTTTTTTTCATTAACCACACTTGACAAACTTAAAATTAAATAATATTTTCAAAAACAATAACATTTGTATGAAAATACACCAAATTTAGATTTGTTTATATTTTCCGTTTGAATATTTAGGAAATAATTTAATAACATTTATCTTAATTACTGACTACTCATATACAAGGTGGCGGAAAAGTAATGTCATAATTTGAATTAACTGCCATTCTTCCAGATAGCGTCAAATATCACTGTGTTTTGATATTTATGATGTAGATGTATAGTGAATTAGTTGTCAACTAGCCATGGAGCGATACACACCTCAAGAACGTGGATTTATTGTTACTGCTTATTTGACAAATTTTCAGTGTGTTGTTTTAACGTAAATGATCGATGAAGCAAATTTCCACTTAAGTAGTTATGTTAACAAACAAAATTTGCAGTGAAAAAGTGATTGGTCCTTATTAGAGGTTGCTACAAGTTGATTGATCATTATTGTTGGTTTCAACAGGACGGAGCAACCGCTCACACAGCTCGGAAACATTTACTTTTGCGCCACCTCAATAATTAATTTATATTTATTGACAAAACCTTCATTTCTTTATTTAACTATTAATAATCAATTGTAGATTCTGAAGCTAAATATTAACACAATCTATTGCATTCTATTAAATAAACACTGATAATCATTCGTTTACTTATAAATAATATAATTGTGTTTTCTCTCTAACGTACATTGTAAATCTGTAAAAGTGTAAAATCTGCAGTAATAAAGTTAGATTATCTTGTTGTTTTCTGGCTATTACGTGATTTGCAAAGCATGTTCGTTGAGTTGAAACAGTAGGTGAAGGATATTCAAAGTTTCGCTAGTTATCAGTGTGATCCAGTTATGCGCTCGTCCTGAAATTACCATCTCCTGCACAAACGACGTTTTCTCGAAGAACAAACATCGAATGCTCCAATTTTAATGAGCAACCCAAGAAGAGAAGGTCACAAAAAAATAGTATATATATAAAACATTATACATTAGGAAACAGCTCATATGCGAACAAGTTAATATCGATTGTTCGCTTTAGTGGTCACACTGCGTTTACAAAGTTTGCTACTTTGCAGTCTAATATCGCTGGCGATTACATAATAATAATTGAAATCTGTGCGCGTGGGTGAGTATTTATGGTTCTTAATAACCGTAGTCTAAATAACGAGAGAGAAAAAAAAACCCTTTCGCTTATTTGTATTTATTTATATATTTTTTTTCTCTCGCCTGTTCTATTTATTTTACTTTTGTGCATTACTTCTTTTTCATTTCGTCTCGAGGCTATTTCGGGTGGGGGACAAACACTTTTCCGGTCCGTACGTGATGCGAATTTAATGTAGTCAACGTACTTTCGTTGCCATCAAATATTTATGAATTCCATTGGAAACGGGGAAACGCTGTACAAATTAATAACACGGCCGCCTCTAAACTCAGTCCGGATTTCTCAAACAACACCCCCCGAACAACACCACCCCCGCATGTGTCAATAATACCGGGCCTGAGGGGCACTAAGTAGCGGGTTTAAATGATCGTCTGTTCGGAATACCGGATCACCTAAGCCGCTCACACCGTTTTCCGCTCACGTTTCCAAAAACTTGTTGAGCGTTCGGTTAATTGGAAATCATACAATCAAAAGTCGTCAATTTTCGGTTTTGTTTGTTTATTGGATGACCTTCTTTTCTTTTTCTTTTTTTTTGTTTCCGAGATTAAGGAAGAGACTTTCTTCTTTTGTTATCATCGAACAAGCTTCTTCTTCCTCCTCCTACGCTGCACTTAGATCTGAAAGAAATTATCCGAGCACTTTAGAAGTTAGTTTCACCGATGCGACAAACCTTAACTCAACCGCATAAAACAATTATAAACTAAAAACTTTACGAATATAATAGTTGAAAACCAATATAAATTATGATTCTACTACGTTATTAACTTTAAATGCATTTTTTTATATAATTCCTCATTATATTAAACAATGAATTACAATGTATACCAGTGTTTTACAACCTTTTTAAGCGATTCTACAATTCTAATGCCCCTTATGTAATATATACATAATTCGACATACGGTTAAACTATGAATATGTCCATTTTCGAATTGCACTGATGTAAGCTGTAATTCAGGGGAATACCCTAATTAGAACGTACATAAATTGCATAGTTACAGTATACCAGTATATTTGGTTGCATATACAATAAATATATTATATTTAAACTGAAAATCTTATATTATTATCTTACTGCAAAATGTATTTGTTAATTATTATAGTCAAATAATTAATATTATTAATAATATTTTTTAAAATAATAATAAAACTTTTTCTATAATTGTAATTTCTTTAAATGTCACTGTCAAGTTACGTTAAATTCATATGTTTATTATTAGGGCATCGCGATTTATTTTGATTCGATTCGTAGTACAATGAAGACAATACAACATTAACCATTTTTAGTGTTAATCAAGAACACCAAGTATAAAACTAAATGAATCTGGGACCATGACATCATGTTGTATAATTAGAGGTAAGCAGTAATCATGAGTAGCCCATCTCAGTTCCTGGAGGATGCCATAGAGTCAGCCAAGAGGGCTGTGCAATTTGATTCGGATGGCAAAGCAGAACCGGCAGCGTATTTCTACAATGTGGCAGCTAGATTGCTGCTGAAAGCTGCAGAGGCGAGTGAGAACGCTGACAAATCTGAGTCTCTGAAGGTCAAGGCCCAGGAGTATGAGGCGAGGGCACAGAGTCTGCAGGAATTGCAGAATCAAAGTGGAGAGGATTTCCATGAGGATATGCACAAGCAGAGGGTGAGGCAGTTCAGGTTTTTGATACAACAAGCTTTGGATGCAGATGGGGCCGATTTGAAGAGCACTGCCATTGAGTTGTACACGAATGCAATTGAGTTTGTCACCAACTATCCGGATCTGATGCAGAACGAGATCAAGGATTTGGTTCTGCAAGCTTTGGAGCGCGCTGAAGAGTTGAAAGGTATTAAGAAGGAGTCTCCAACTGCTGAGACTTCGCCGGTGCGTAGAACGGCGCCCAGTTTGCATAGGGGAAGCAGCGCTCATTTGCAGGTGTCCGGGAATAAGGATGTTTACACTGAAGAGGAAAAGCGTGTGCTTTTTCACACATCGAGGATTAATAACATCGATTACGTGCCGTTTATGTCTATAGATTTGAAGGAACGTTTCCAATACGCGTTTCCTTTTACTGATAAGAACGGACATCTGGCGCTCTCGCCAAAGCAGAGAAAGGATTTCTGTAAATGGGTAGATTCAATACAAATTGAATGTAGTTACAATTGTTTTAATTGTTATTGTAGATTAGGCCAGAGGAAATCTGCAGTGAACCTTGCATTGTTCTCGGACAGTACCCTGACTACTTCAGCATCAAGCAAACTGTAGTTTCTGATTGCTCTTTTGTCGCTTCTTTGGCTGTGAGCGCGAGTTACGAGAAACGTTTTGGGAAGAAACTGGTGACTCCTATTATTTACCCGAGAGACAAGAACAAGAAACCCATGTACAATCCATTTGGGAAGTACATGGTGAAGCTGCACCTGAATGGAGTTACCAGGAAGGTCATCATTGATGACCAATTGCCAATGAACAGGTATGGGCAGCTGCTGTGCTCATATTCCAGTAACAAATCGGAGTTTTGGATCTCGCTCTTGGAGAAGGCCTACATGAAAGTCATGGGAGGATACGATTTTCCTGGAAGCAATAGTGTAAGTTAAATTCTTCGATTGGAGTGTTAATAACTTATTTGATAACTTATTTATAGAATATAGATTTGCATGCTTTGACTGGTTGGATTCCTGAGAGGATTTCCATCAGGATGAAAGACGCGGATTTCAATAGAGACGCTCTCTTCAACACGCTGGAGTCACGGCTGAGTAAAGGAGATGTTCTTCTGACTGTTGCTACAGGTATTATGTCCGATTCAGAGGCCGATAGGACGGGATTAGTGGCGACTCACGCTTACGCCGTCATGGATATAAGATCGGTGAACGGCGTACGGTTGTTCAAGTTGAAAAACCCTTGGTCACACCTAAGGTGGAGAGGCAATTACTCCGAATTGGATGTCAGACATTGGACGCCGGAGCTGCAGAACACACTTAGCTACGATCCGCACAGTGCGGCCCAATTTGATAACGGCGTTTTCTGGATCGACTACGACAGCATCTGCGCCTTCTTCGAGGTGTTCTACATGAACTGGAACCCGGAACTGTTCAAATTCACCTACTGCATCCACCAGTAACTCAACAATACCTCAATTTCTTTTTTAAAACACTAATCGTTTCGCGATTTAGGGAATGGAAAGCTGGAGTCGGACCCATCAAGGATATTTACACGATCGGATCGAATCCGCAGTTCTCGTTGAGCGTGAGCGGTGAAGCTTCCGGCGCCGTCTGGATTCTTCTCACCAGACACATCATGGACATCGAGGATTTCAAGGAGAACCACGAGTATATAACTCTGATCGTGTACAAAGGGAACGGCAAAAGGATTTATTACCCAAGTGCTTGAAGATCTATTCCACAAGAGATTTTGATGTTCATATTGAATGGTTTTTTAGTGGATCCTCCGCCGTACATTGATGGGGTACGAATCAACAGTCCGCATTACCTTTGCAAGATTATCCTCAGTCCAGGAATGAGCAGGAATTACACGTTGGTGGTCTCGCAGTACGAGAAAACGGCTACAATTTACTACACTTTACGAGCTTTCGCTACATGTCCCTTCAGTCTCAACAAAATCATTGATCCGTACAAATTTAAGAAAGAAGTACGTATAATTTATTTGTTTTTGCATTCAAACTATTTGCAAGATTACTTTAAAAGGTTTGCGGAGAATGGAGAGGAGTAACAGCTGGAGGCTGCGGAAACCATCAAGCGACATACAGGAACAATCCTAGAATCAAAATCGAGATCGAATCAAATTCCAACGAGAACTGTCTCTTTGTGGAGCTCAAAGGGCCGAAGCAGTACCAGATCGGCTTCGATTTAACAATAACCACTTTAGCCGACGATTCCGTAACGGCTCCATTTAAAACTATCTCTTCAGGACCTTACAGGTAATTAATATAACATCTGAACTAAAGCTATTTTCTTGAAAATATGTTTCTAATTTTGCAGAACTGGGATAGTCGTTCTCGACTTGGATAACGTCCCTGCTGGCAGTTTAACATTAACACCTTCGACCTATCTGCCGAATCAAGAAGGCCCATTCATATTGACCGTCAAATGTTCGAATGCTGTACAAGTCTACAGAGAGAAATAATGTTCAACTGTTTTTAAAGAAAATTTAATTTTTATACACCGTGCTTCTTTATACACCTGTTTTTCTAATTAAATAAATTGTTATATTTTCTTCAAGTTTTCAAAAAATTTGATTGAAATTCTTTGTAATAAAGACGAAACATAAATTATCAAATTTAAAATGTTTATTATTAATTTTAAAATTTTTCAGAATTTGTCGATTAGTTCTAATGAACTAACGGTTGGTCATCGTGGTCTTCTACAATTACCACGTTCTTGTTTCCTCATGTTGGTACACCTGATTAACACAGTACATTGCAGTTATAACCTCAATGGCGTCCCGAAAATATTTATTAAGCTAAAGTGCTTAAATTAAACAGTGTTTGCATTTGCTTGTAGTTTAGACTCGAGAAAATCTATTAATCTATTACAGAATGTCTGACTTCATCGAATCCGAGGCCGAGGAGTCTGAGGTAAATATAGTTAAATGTTTTGTATAAACATACATGTAATTCACTAACAATTCATGGTACAGGTGATTGTACCATGAACCAAGCATTGTACAATTAAGCAAACATACCACTAATTTCTTTCTATGTTTTCTATTATAGGATGAGGAGGAATTGACCCCTCATGATAAGAAGAGGCTGAAGAGATCGAGGGCCATGAATGACTCCTCTGAAGAAGACGATGGTGAGTAGATTTCTGATAATTTGGAACAGTTTACTACATTCGAATTTGCTATAGAAGATGACGATAGGGAAGATCTGAAGGATCTCATTGATGATAACCCAATTGAAGAAAGTGATGGTGAGGACTCTGATCGAGATGGACAGAAGAGAAAGAAATCGGATGAAGAATATGATGATCGGCTTGAGGATGAAGATTATGACCTTATTGAGGAAAATTTGGGTGTTAAAGTGGAAAGAAGGGTCAGTTGTTTGTTGTGTTGTGTTACTGGAGTGTTAAGTGTTAAATTTGTTTGTAGAAATTCAAAAGGTTGAAACGAATCAGGGATGAGGAGAGTGACAATGAGGATACTGCAGATCAGAGTCAGGATCGAGATGCAATTGCTATGGAGATATTCACAGATGATGTAAGTATTTTTATTATTATTTTTTTTGTAGAAACTTCTAATGTAAAATCTTTAATGCTAATGGTATTAAATTATCATTTCATTAGAAACTTTTTATATTTTATTGTAAAATCTACTTGTTGCATATGTGAATGTTTAAATGAATCTCGTATTGTTGGTATTAATTCATAAAAATTTAATTTGTGCCATACAAAACATGCATTTTAACTATCATCAATTATGCACTGTTAACTGTTCTAGTTACACTAAAACTTAGCAGACTTAGTAGACCATTGCTTGAAAATATAATTAAGAGGTTAATTGTTATTGTTTGGTATATTAATTAATTGATGGTTGAAATAAGCTTTGTATCTTTTGTTTCCTTGCTTAACAAAACGTAAAAAAGGATAAAGATGATCATCAGGTAAATAGATTTGATTTGATGAATTATGAAGAAGTGGTTTATTGTGGATTAAAAATGTTTTAAAAACTTTAGGATGATGAAAGACGGTCAGAGAGGAGCCACAGACATGTGGCGGAGCCGGAGCAATACGATGAAGATGATGATGACTCTGATGCTGATGACTTTATCGTCGATGACGAGGGTAGGCCAATCGCTGACAAGAAAAAGAAGAAAAAACCGATATTTACCGACGCGTAAGTTATATCATCAGAGTTAATAAATACAACATTTTAAACTGGTTTCTTTTGCAGTGCGTTGCAAGAAGCTCAAGAGACTTTCGGCGTTGATTTCGACTACGACGAGTTCTCTAAATACGAGCAAGATGAGTACGAGGAGGACGATGAAGAAGACGAAGATTACGATGATGAGGATGAGGACGGGGAGAGGCGCAGAAGGCCCAAGAAAACGAAGAAAAAGATGAGTAAAAAGACTATCTTCGAGGTGTACGAGCCTAGCGAACTTAAGCGAGGCTTCTTCACCGATTTGGACAACGAGATTAGGAACACAGATGCCCCGGAGCGAATGCAAATTCGCGAAGTTCCCATAACTTCTGTCCCGGAGGATTCGACTGAACTAGACGATGAAGCCGAATGGATTTACAAGCAAGCCTTCTGCAAGCCATCGATATCTAATCAAGAGTCTCATCTTACCGTGGAGGCTAGGGAACGGCAGAAGAAGGGCCCGCAAACAGTTGGAAAGATACGAAAAGCACTCGACTTCATGCGTAACCAGCAACTGGAAGTGCCTTTCATCGCGTTCTACAGGAAAGAATATGTTCAGCCTGAATTGACGATAAATGATTTATGGAAGGTCTACAAGTTCGACGCGAAATGGTGCCAGTTAAAATCACGTCGTCAGAATCTTCTGAACCTCTTCGAGAAAATGCGCTCTTACCAACTGGATCAACTCACGAAGAACCCGGATGCTCCCATTCCGGAAAACGTGCGCGTCATGAAGGACTCTGATCTTGATAGGCTGAAAAACTGCCAGACAACTGAAGAGCTTCAGGACATTTACAATCACTTCGTGTTGTATTACGCGGGCGATCTGCCAGCGATGCACGTAGCTTGGCGTGAAAAGGAAAGGGAGAGGAAAAAGTTCGAAAAGCGACAGGCGAGGTTGAAGCAAATTGCGGAAAATGAAGACGGGGCTGATATCCCCGAGGATGTCGACATCGACGAACAGGATGAACCTGAAGAACAGGAAACTTTAAAGTACGCAAATCGATCTGGTTCTTATGCCCTCTGCACTAGGGCAGGAATCGACGGATTGGCTAAGAAATTCGGTCTCTCTCCGGAACATTTCGCTGAGAATTTGCGTGATAATTATCAAAGGCACGAAGTCGATCAAGAGTGCGTCGAGCCTTTAGAAGTAGCGAAAGAATTCATTTGCCCGTGAGTCAATTCTACTTTAAAGATTCATCGATTGTAATACTAATTATTAATCTTTTATTTTGCAGGAAGTTCCAAACTGTGGAAGAAGTTTTACAAGCCGCCAAGTTTATGGTTGCAGTGCAGATTGCTAAGGAACCACTTCTAAGGAAGAGCGTGCGCGAAGTGTTCTTCGAAAGGGCGAAAATTACCATCAGGCCGACGAAGAAGGGTATGAAAGTGATCGATGAACAACACAATTGCTACACCGTAAAATATGTTAAAAACAAACCCGTCCGAGATTTATCCGCTGAGCAATTCCTTAAGCTTAGCATGGCCGAGGAGGAGCAATTGATCACAATCACGATCAATGAGAATATCGACGGGAACACATCGAACTCGTATATAGACGAAGTTAAACAACTGTACATTAAAGATGAGTTCAGCAAGAATGTTCAGGACTGGAACGCCTTGCGCATGGAATGCGTGGAGCGTGCTTTAACCAAATCCGTGCTTCCTGATCTCAGGGATGAACTGAAACGAACCCTGATAGCCGAGTCTAAGGATTACGTTCTGAAAGCTTGCTGCAGAAAACTGTATAATTGGCTTAAGGTAGCACCTTACAAAGTTGATTTCCCAGATGAAGAGGATGACGAATGGGATACTTCGAAGGGCATCCGCGTTATGGCAATCGCCTACGTTCCAGATTACTCACAATCTGCTTTCACTTGCATAGCAGGTCCGGACGGCGATATCACAGATTATTTGAGATTACCGCATTTGCTCAAGAGAAAGAACAGTTATCGCGACGAGGAGAAAATGCTCAAGGAGGCCGATCTGAGCGCATTGAGAAATTTCATTTACACCAAGAAACCGCATGTCATCGTAATCGGCGGTGAATCCAGAGAGGCTATGATGATTTCCGAAGATATGAAAGGTTTGGTGTCTGATTTGGTGGACAACGATCAGTTCCCATCGATAAACGTTGAGATCGTCGACAACGAATTGGCCAAAGTGTACGCCAATTCTCATAAGAGCGAAACAGATTTCCGGGAATATCCTGAGCTCCTCAGGCAAGCCGTCTCTTTGGCCAGAAAAATGCAAGACCCATTGGTAGAATATTCGCAACTCTGTACGGCTGACGAGGAATTGCTCAGTTTACGGTTCCATTCGATGCAGGATCAGTTGGGCAAAGACGAACTGCTGGAGAATCTATATTTGGAGTTTGTTAATCGCACTAACGAGGTCGGTGTTGATGTTAATTTAGCTGTGCAACAGAACCATAAGAGTCACTTGGTGCAGTTTATCTGCGGTCTCGGCCCTAGAAAGGGTCAAGCTCTTATCCGCGTACTTAAACAGACGAATCAGCGCTTGGAGAACAGAACGCAACTCGTGACGTCCTGCCACATGGGCCCTAAAGTGTTCATCAATTGCTCTGGTTTTGTTAAGATCGATACAAACAGTTTGGGCGATAGTACTGAAGCTTATGTAGAAATCCTTGACGGTTCTCGTGTCCATCCAGAAACGTACGAATGGGCCAGGAAGATGGCCGTCGATGCTCTCGAGTATGACGATGACGAGGGAGCGAATCCTGCCGGAGCACTCGAAGAGATTTTGGAGGCTCCAGAGAGATTGAAAGATTTAGATTTGGATGCTTTCGCAGAAGAATTAGAGAGGCAGGCGTTCGGCAATAAGAGCATAACTTTGTATGATATTCGTGCAGAATTGAACAGCCGCTACAAAGATTTAAGAACAGCTTTCCAATCTGCCAATGCCGAAGAATTATTCGATATGCTAACGAAGGAGACTCCTGAAACGTTCTATGTTGGTAAAATGATTACGACGACGGTGTGCGGCATTTCCAGGAGGAAACCGCAAGGTGAGCAATTAGATCAAGCTAATCCAGTGAGAAACGACGAGACAGGTTTGTGGCAGTGTCCGTTCTGTCTGAAGAATGACTTTCCGGAATTGTCTGACGTATGGAATCACTTCGATGCTGGTGCCTGTTGCGGACAAGCTACTGGCGTCAAGTTACGTTTGGACAATGGAGTTTCTGGTTATATTCACATCAAGAACTTGAGTGACAAACATGTGGCGAATCCGGAGGATCGCGTTGGTATTGGTCAGCTGATCCATTGCAGGATAATAAAGATCGACGTGGAAAGGTTCTCTGTGGACTGCACCTCGAAATCAAGCGATTTGTCGGATAAGAACCATGAGTGGCGGAGGGCAAAGGATCCGTTCTACGATCAGGAGCAAGAGGATACCGACACGAGGACAGAGCAGGACGTGAAGCGCAATAAACAGAAACAGACGTACATCAAGAGGGTCATCGTGCATCCTTCTTTCCATAACATCTCGTTTCTGGAGGCGGAGAAAGTTATGGCGAATATGGACCAAGGTGAGGTGATCGTGAGGCCTTCCAGTAAAGGATCGGACCACTTGACCATCACCTGGAAAGTGGCAGATAAAATCTACTCGCACATCGATGTCAGGGAAGAAGGAAAAGCGAACGCGTTCTCATTGGGATCGTCGTTGTGGATCAACGGGGAGGAGTTCGAGGATCTGGATGAAATCATCGCCAGACACGTGACCCCGATGGCCGCCCATGCTCGTGATATTTTGCATTTCCGGTACTACAAGGATACCGAGGGCGGTCACAAAGATAAAGCCGAGGAGTATCTCAAGGATGAGCGCAAAAAGAATTCTTCCAAAATCCATTACATCATAAGCGCTTCCAAGGTATAGAGTATTTATTATATTTGGAAAGCGAACAGAGATAATAATAATAATTATTGTATTGCAGAACTATCCGGGGAAATTTCTCCTCTCGTATTTGCCGAGGAACAAGGTGAGGCATGAGTTCGTGAGTGTCACGCCGGATGGCTTCCGGTACAGAGGTCAGATGTTCGATAACATCGGGAACCTCTTCAAGTGGTTCAAGGAACATTTCCGTGATCCCATTCCAGGCGGACAGACGCCAGGCACTCCGAGAAGCAGTAACCACCAGGCCAGGCCTTCCTCTTATGGAAACAACGTGACGCCGAGCTACGGCAACATGAATTCGGAGGCCATTCAGCGGGTGGCGCAGAACATGCCCAGCCACATGATGCAGACCTTGTCTGCAGTCGCGAACCAGACTCCGCATTACCCTCATACTCCCGGCGCTTACGGTGCTAATACCTACATTAACACGGTAAGTTATTAAGCTTAAGTAGCTTTATAAATGCCGAGAACACCCAAAGCGTTCATTCGAGGTGAAGCTAAATCCTCGATGTTTATGGCGACCAGTTCTCGATTCGTACATTTCGTAAGAAGCAAAACACGCAATATATTTGAACTGAAATTTATTTTATTACTTCTCAATTTCACATGATTTGGTTTTTAAATATCAATTTATTTATATGCAATTGTGTTAACATGTATTTGTGTGTGAATTCAACAGCCTTATACTCCAAGCGGACAGACTCCATTCATGACTCCGTATCAGACACCGCACGCTCAGCAGACACCTAGGTACGGCCATCAGACTCCATCGCAACACCTGCCGAACACTGCCCCACACATGAGCGGACCGTTCCTGCATCCTGGAGCTGTGACCCCGTCGCAGAGGACGCCCGGCTACAGGAATTCCATGGCCTCATCGCAGTCTCCGATGATGCAACCTTCACCGCAACCATCGCCGCACGGCAGATCCTACGGCGATCACAAGTCCTATCCTACAGAATCACCTAGGAGCTATTCAAGTGAGCACCGGAGCTACCCCGACGGAGGTGGTAGATCATCCAGGAACAATTACGCTCACAACAATGAATCCACCGATTGGCAGAAGGCGGCGGAGGCTTGGGCCAGGAGCAAAGGAGGACGTGAGGGTGGTAAGTGTCTATATTTATTACAAAAAAATCTAGAGGTGTTAACTAATCCTTTCTTATGGTTGCAGGAACCCCGAGGAGCGAAGCCGGCAGGGGAACCCCACGATCTCAAGGACAGCGCACGCCAAGGTACGACGACGAAAGGTCCAGGAAGAGCGTGGGCAAAAGCCCTCGATCTGTCCGCAGCACTCCAAGGACGAACACCTCACCGCACTCCATGTCGTTGGGCGATGCTACCCCGCTTTACGACGAAAACATTTAATAATCATTATTTTATTTTTTTTGTCCTTTTTTTTATATACATATATATATATAGTTTAGTATAATTTAGTATTGCAACTATCTTATTCCCGAAAACTCAAATCAACCGTAAAACAGACTGTTCAAAGTTATTATTATCTTACTTTTATTTAATTTCTTTCCACGAGAGACGACGGAGGAGCAATGAAAAGAAAATATATATGAAATATTTTATATTGTAAAACAGATGGGACGAGGAGGAGGCGGATAGGAAAAATATTGAGAAATTGATTTTGAACAATAAAAAGCAAGTACATTTTTCTATGAATCGCTGTAGTTTATTACAAATACAATCATCGTTCATTCGTTGGACGAAGCTGCTGCGTTGACGACGTTTCGGCATATTTGGGATTTCCAAGGGCATTGCATTTCGCAGTCTGGCAAATGCCGCTGAGAAACCCCAAAACTGCGCTCAACACTTCTTCTTCATGATGTTGATCTTCTTTTGTTGTTGCGTTGGTCCATTTTCCTACCTAACTGAAACCGAAGCACTCTCTGATACAACGATCTAATAATAATAACAACAACAACGTGTTCACAAATAAATGCCTATGCTATATATAATATACTCGTATTATTATTATACAATGGAATTGTTAAATTTAATACCGATCGAAACAATTGTTTGTGTTTTTCTATGAAAGAATAAACGCTATTATACAAACGTTCTTTATTTATTTCTGCAATGCGTTTGCATGAATTAGTTGAATACAAATGCATTCAAAACCGTTTACATATCTATATCTTGAATAAATCGAGTTGCGTAAGATTCGGTGCTCATTGCTACCAGATTTCCTAAGGAAAAACTAAGGTCGAGAACAATTGCTTTGGGACGTGAAACATAAAACGTGGCGGCGCGGGCATTGTTTTTTCTGTTGGATTTTATTGTTTTGAGAGCGGAGGGATTTTCTAATCGGAGCCGGAGATTTCGCCGGAGGCAATTGGAACAATATGTTTGTGGTCAGAGCTGAGCTGAGCTGTGCAGAGAGCCGTGGCACCACAAAGAGAACAGACCGTAGTGCACCTCTTGCACAATGCAGCAGAGAAATCCGGGAACAAAACGCTCTATCATTATTTCTCAATATAATCGTTTTTTATCCATTCAAGTGGATCTAACTCCTTCCACCCGAGGCCAATAATACGGATCCGATATAAATCGTTGAGAGGGATTCCCCGTTCCGTTCCGTTCGATTCCCTCCACATCGCATCTCTGCACCTGCACCCACTTCTTTTTTCCACTCGACGCTTTCCGCTATTTGCGCAGACCTGAGCTAAGGCAGTTTATTAATTCGATGCTAGAGGAGAGGAGAACCCACCAACACACCACAATGTACTCGTTGCTGCGATCTCGATAATGGCATTGTCCGAGAGCGACAATTATTATTAATAACGAATCGCGTCCATAAATCGATTGTTTAATGCGCGGCAAAGAGGTAGTCAATCCATTACACAGTTCTTTCCCGAAGCGCGGCCGTCTTCCCTCTCGTTGTTATTATTAGCATTCCTCCTCCTCTTCTGAGCAGTCCTTCGCAGCAATTTATTGGACCGATATTCATAAATCGTCCGGCGCCGCAATTATCCTGATCATCGGGAAGAGACGGCGGCTGTTTATGCGTTTGCAATAACTTGGGACTTAACAGGCCAGTAGACCTTCGCATAACCCACTGTACCGATAAGGCCCAAACTATCGCAAATCGAAAGATCACTTCTCTCCAATCACATCAGACTCTCCGAGAAGCGCAACTGGATTATCCTCCTTGCACACGCAAATGTACGTGTCTCTTTTACGGCCCACACATCTGAAACAGATTTTCATTAGTTAGAGCACATTTGCAAAACAAATTACAACGAACGGAGAGAAGAAACGTCTTCACCTACAAATTCACATCTAAATACAACAACTCTTAATTAATTAGAATACTGCACACTTCAATACTTAATTAATAGTCAATTAATTCTAAATTCACACAAATAAAGAGTTCATTGAAATTTAAACATTTAAAAAAATAGTAATGTATTAATTAATCTAATTATATAGTCGAAATACAGAAAATACTTCACCTACAAATTCACATCTAAATACAACAACTCTTAATTAATTAGGAATACTGCACACTTCACTACTTAATTAATAGTCAATTAATTCTAAATTCACACAAATAAAGAGTTCATTGAAATTTAAACATTTAAAAAAATAATAATATATTAATTAATCTAATTATATAGTCGAAATACAGAAAATACTAAGAGTGTAAAAGTAGTTAAAAATATTCCGTTCCAAATTCGTAAATCAAAAAATATCATAAAATAATAACATCTTCATAAATAACCGAAACCAAAATAAATAAGCGTAATAATCTCAAGTTAATATGCTTTAATATCATGATTTCGTTTATTTTTTTATGATCTCCGAATCCTATAAAAGTGTTAACATTTAATACACCAATAAAATATTCAAGTATCATAAATCAAACCGAATCATAACTATATAAATTTTGTGACTCTTATTCAATTTTTATGTCTTCAAGGATGTTGAAGCAATGAAGATTTTCATGAATCTAGTGGCATCTGCGTCACGTCTTTGGTACGTACGCAGACACGGTGACACTAGCAGGAATACGAATGTTTCGACCAATTAAAGTCCTCCTGCTGTTCAGGAAAACCGTCTTAATTAATGGTCTCAGCGCGCTGATTTCATTCATTCACCAGAACCATCACAAACGGTTCATTTTATCTCTTCGCCGGAAAGATCACCCTGCAAATGTATCCGCAAACAGGAAGAGACGCATTGATTGATCGATCGATCGAACGTCACATAATAAACGCATTTGTCTTCTCTAATTGTTAATTGAAAAAGCTTAGAATTTCTTATGGCGCCACTAGGGTTACGCAACTGGTCCTCTTGCAGGATGAAAGGATTCACGTGTAAAAAAAATAAAAGGTGCGCAAGATAAATTAAATCGTCCCGTTAAGTTGGTTTGATTAATTGGGCAGCGGGCGGTTATCTGCTATCTCCGGCTTTGGTAGCCGTGTACGCTGAAGGACAAAAGCTACTTACGCAATTAATCACGTCCAGGAGTGCAGGAGTGAGACGAGAAGAGCGGAAAATAGGAACGCAGATGAAATAAAGCGTAATTTATTGTCTCGCGGTGCGCGTTATAAATAATACGATAACAATCTGATGAAATCCGAACGATGCGATTTTAGAAAGCCCTCGTGGGCGAAGACATCGGTGGTCCAAATTGTAAATCCGTAGATGACAGACAGAATGGGAATTGATGTATTGATTGTTAACGTTTTCTTCATGAAAGCATAATTTATCTAATTGCAATTTAAAGTTTGCGCTTTGGTGGCTTGATTCTGCAAGTACAAGGAAACTAAGTATCCGAACGATCTCTCCACTGCTCTTTCCTGAGTGGTCTGAGCGAAGCTCATGAAATTTTTTCGAAATTAATTTAAATTGCATACGCGATACGTGCATGAATTATGCTTCCTGCCGCCATAATTTATATTATAATTGAGTTGCATATTAAAGTTCAGATTGCATAAGGCGATTTGATAATGGGGGAGGGATAAGAAGAAGAGGAAGAAGAAGAAGAAGCATGAGATAGAAACAAAAGAAAAGAGCGGACGAGCACCGGCCCGCTACAAATAATAATAAGTGCGGCGTTAGTATGTACATTATTCGCCGTGGCATAGTATTACCTGCCCGACTTACTTTATGAGTTAATTGGATGTAATTAAGACTGCATTATAAATTACTCAAGGAATGGTCGTACTACAGTTATATTTTTTTCTTTTCGTTGTTGTTATTGCTGCTGCTTGTGCTTGCGCTATTGCCGTATCCAGTTTCAAGATTTATTTACTGCTTAATAAAATATCGCTGCTGAAAACTTTAACGTCGCTTCGTGATGCGCGAGACCCGGTGCGGCACCTCGCGGAACAACTGTTCGGATTGTTCGAATTTGTTTTTTTTTTCGGACGAGGGAAGATCTCGGAATGCGATGCAAATAGCTTGTTTTTGGTTTTGGTTTTTGTTTTTGTCGAGCGATGGCAAAACGACCGGTGACAGGTCTCATCAATGCGATTTCACGCTGTCCGTCCGCTGCGAAGAGAGGTGAAACTCGCTTTCGGACATTCCTCTTTGCACGCAAGAGATCTTCACGCATCGACGTCCGCAAGAGATGCCGCCACCTCCGCAGCAAGAGAAGAGAAGCCGCCGCCGCCGCCTCCTTTTATCTCCGGAAGCATCTCCCGGAGGGGCACAGCACAGTCTGTTACGCAATGCGGCGTAAGTTGTCCGATTCCGCTGCAGCCTTGTTAATTTCGAAAACCTCTGCCCTCCTCGTTCGCAACTGATTTCTTCGAGCGTTAATATTCAACTAACTTCATTCATTCACACCCATCAACTCATACTTTATCCAATAACTTAAGACAAGCAAAATATACTTAACTGATATGGATTTCTTCTTTCCAATTCCTGTTGTTCTCCAAGACAGTATATTGTAATATATACTTCATCAACTTAACAACTATTCCAATACAAAAAAGACGTCATCTTATTAAGTTCTTCAATCCATAACTTGGAGATCTGGTGGTCTTTTTTTGGATACAAAAACCTAGAACAAAAGACCATAACGTTAGTTAATATATTTTTTTTTATTTTTATTATTTTTAAAGCAATCTATCATCTGACATTGATATCTAGCCTTATGAATGTCGTAAAGTAAGTTAAAAAAGGACACTATAATAATAATTAATGAAGTGAAGATCCAGCAACCCCACATTAATAATCAATAATTAAAATTGGTTTGGTAAAACTTGTGGTTTGAATCTCTTCAATCTTCGACGATGCTCTGCAGTAAGCATCAGCTCAATAGCCAGTTAATAATGAGTTTAAAAATTTGGTATAATTTCATCCAGAAGACAAGTTTTATTACATCTTAGATTATTTCAATCTTTGCTTTCCTTAATAACATATGTATTTCAGGTAAATTATTGAAAATTTTGTAATTTTTATAACTCGAAACAATTCTATTCTCTGATTTCCTCCAAAAAAACGTGCGTACTTAAAAATGTATTGTAAAATGTAGATAATAATGCGTTACAGCAGCAGTGGTTTCCCCTTTCATAAAAGGAACGCGCATTACAGCATTATGGATAAGAGCACAGGAATGTATATATACTTGCTGGATTCCCCAAACATTCAGCTTTCATATGCATCCATATGCATCATATGGATTGATTCTATGTATTATAGTTTTCGAGTAAATCAATGAAATGTAAAAACACTGCTTTTTCGAGCATTTTTTAAAATTCGAACACGAATTACAGCCAAACAGCTAAAAGCACAGTAATATATCGATACTTGC